TTGATGTTGACTTCCTTCCAGCACTTAAGTGTGATGTGGCAGGTTTCTCACCTTAAAAAGAGGGATAACACAAAGCAGTGATAGTGAAGGCAAAGATAAACAGCTGGGACTACATCAAATTAAAGAGCTTCTGTGCAGTAAGAGACAGTAACCAAAACAAAGAGACACCCCACCGATTTGGAGACAATTTTTGCACATAACACTAATGATAAAGGACTGATGGCAAAAATCTACAAAGAGCTGATGAGACTCAACAAAAACAAAGTAATAACCCAAACAAAAAATGGGCAGAAGAGCTAAAAAGAAATTTCTCCAAAGAGGAAATGCAAATGGCCAACAGGCATATGAAAAAATGTTCAACATCACTTGTAATCAGGGAAATGCAAATCAAAACTACAATGAGATACCATCTTACATCAGTGAGAATGGCACATATTAAAAAAACTAGCAACAACAAATGTTGGCGAGGATGTGGAGAAAAAGGAACTCTCCTGCACTGTTGGTGGGAGTGCAAACTGGTCCAACCACTATGGGGAGCTGTGTGGAGATTCCTCAGTCTGCTAAAGATGGAGCTTCCATATGATCCAGCAATTCCTCTCCTAGGTATTTACCCAAATGACACAGAAACATTAATTCAAAAGGGCTCCTGCACCCCTATGTTTATAGCAGCACTATTTACAATAGGTAAGCTATGGAAAAAACCCAAATGCCCAAAAATAGATGACTGGATCCAGAAGATGTGGTACATATACACAATGGAATATTACTCAGCAATCAAGATAAACTCAAGTAATTTGCAGCAATATGGATGAAGCTGGAAGGGATCATGCTCAGCAAAATAAGCCAGAAAGAAAAAGAAAAATACCAGGACCTTCCTTGGTGGTGCAGGCGGTTGAGAGCCATGCTGTGAAGCTGTCTGCAGCCTCTGCAGTGCGGGTTCAATCTCAGCTGCCCGCGAGGGTCCCACATGGTGGGGCGGACCTCTCCTGTCTTGCCCGCTGCTCCCCTCAGCAGTGTATTTCGTCAGTCTGCCTGTTCTGTTCTCCACTCTGTCTCCGGTGAATCCTCTTACTCTCCTGCGCATCTGGCCTATACACCGGTTCTTGTATAAATGAATAAATAAATCTTTAAAAAAAAAAAGAAAAATACCAGATGATCTCACTCATAGCAGGAATTTAGGAAACCTAAATAAGGGACCAGGAAAAAGACTATAATAAAAATCAAAATCAACAAGCAACTATAAACCAGAGACACACTACAGGGTGGGGGGAGGGATTAGGATCAAAACAAGGGGGTTGGGAATTGTATGGGGACTATAACCAAGATGAAAATGCATACATTGTGCAAAAATGAAAAATGATGTAAAAAATATATAAAATAAAATAAATTTTTAAAAAGTACTCACTTTATTGCCCTAGGGGGGGAAAAAGAGGGGTAACAATCTCTACCTTCTAGAGTTGTGAGGGTTAAAGGAAAACGTGTGACTCAATACCTAGCATGTAGTAAACAACCTCAGATGACTTCAATGAGCTGTCTGGCTTGGGCTGGGTGTGCAGGGACAGGTGGTGGATTCTTCCTGTTTTATCTGGTGGGTGGAAGAAAAGTCTTGGGTTTTTTTTTTTTTTTTTTTTTTAGTCTTGGGTTTTGAAGCAGGAAACTATAGTAGTATTGGTCCTGCCACTAAGTTGACTCTGAGCAAGTTGCCTTTCTTTTGAGTCTGTTTCCTATTTACTGAAGGAGATCAAAGTCAGCGTTTAGGTAGAAAGGAAACATGTTTTAAAACTCTCATGTGCTATACCAAGAAGTGCCACTAGGTGCTACCAAAAACAAGAAAAATTTACCTAAAGCTAGAAGTCACCAACACTAACCGAGACTCTGTAATGTAAGAAATAAAGTAGTAGGACTGAGTCTCAGTTTGTATGTCTTAATTTACCATCAACTTTACTTTTAGAACTCAGTAGTTTAATCTATTAAAAGCTTTTTCAACAAGTGAATTTTTTTGACTTTCATTTTTCATTTATCTTTAATATTGCTAACAGATTTATTTCTAATTGCGCTAAACTGAAACATTGAATTAGTTACAGCGCTAGACATTGGGTGCTCCCTCCGGATGTGGTCCACAGAGCCTCTAACTATGAGCTCCTTCTGCCTCAGCTACAGAGAACCCCCTCTGTGGATGTCACCCCTTCCCTCGGCAGCCTACACCTATTGGCTGAGCAAGGTGAGGGAGAGCTATAAAAACATGGCCATTCTTGCTCTATGCAGGTCATTCTTTTTCTTTTTTAATTTTTAAAATTTGGGATATAATTGGCATATAACATTGCATTCATTTTTAGGTGTACACCATACTGATTATATATATTGCAAACTGATTACTATGGGAAGTTTAGTTAATATCCATCAGCATGGAGAGATGCACATTTTCGCCTCATGTTGAGAATTTTTAAGATCCACTATTAGCAACTTTCAGCTATCCAATGCTGTACTGATAATTATACTCATCAAGCTATACCTGGCATTGCCAGGACTAATTCATCACTGGATGTTTGTGCCCTTGATCACCTGTGCGCATTTCATCCACCCTCTATTCTCTTCTTCTAGAAACCACCAATCTGTTCTATGAGTTTGAGGGTTTTTTTTAATATTTCACATATAAGTGAGATCATCAGGTATTTATCTTTCTCTGTCGCACTTACTACCCTTAAGAGTTCAGTTTTAGCAAGAATCCTCCCAAGATAGATGACCAAGGCCACTCCACCTTCAAACCCCGACCGGGAAGCACAGGTGCTTAGGGGCTGAGAAGGGTGGCCGTTCACTGAGAGGCCCAGGGTCAGAGACCCCACGCTGGCGTATTTGTGTCACAGGGATCTTGGTAATATGTTGTTCAGCTTTTCCCATTTTGCAAACAGCAGAAACGAAGGCCTAAACACACCAAGTGTAAAGCACTAATCCAGGGTCACACAGATGAGTGGCCTGAGTCGATCCAGAGCCTAGGCCTCAGAACCCCTTCCAGCCCAGAGTCAAAGCTCTTCCCCAAGAGTCTTTTCAGAAACAACTGCCTGTTTGTTGTCAGTTGTCCTGGGGGTAGTGGTGTCACTTTCGTGGTTTGCTTACAGCCTTACTTTCCTACACAGTCAGAAGTTCAGAGGAATTGGCCGCAGTCACTGTCACCAGGGCTTCCTCAGCTCAGCCAGCAGCTGAGTCAGGGGCACCAGGGCATCATATATACAAGCCAGGGCGATGCTGAAGTTCTCCTGTGTGTTTCTCCAAAGAACCTGGTGCTTTGTGTGCTCCTCCGCTAGAACACTCACAGAGACCAACATCTCTCCTCCTGCTCCTCCCTGGAGAAGGACCGTGTCACCCAGAGAAGGCACAAGTCTGCAGGCTGTCTCCATCTACCGCTGGGCCTCTGAATGTACTCATTGCCTTGTGTGCTCTTTCCTGTTCCTAATCCTGTGCTATCCCTTGGGACAGTAGTTCTCTGTGTGCTTGGGGAATCTGAGGGTCCTTAAGACTTTTTTCAAGGGATCCAACAGGTCAAAGATTATTGACTAGTAATACCAACATGTCCTGTGTCTTTCTCTTTCTCATTCTCTCTGGATTTTTCCAGAGACATGTGATATGGTAACACACTGCAGAAGTGGGTATGAGGATCCAGTTGTCTGCAATTAAACCAGATAGGAGAGAGACTTGCAAAATGGTCATATGAATCCACCCTTATGGAAAACATGTTCATAGAAATGTTCTTTATGTTAACATGTTTTCCATGAAAGAGTCTTAGATGGTGAGTTTGTGGTTGAAAGAAAACTAGCCAGAACTGGTCAGCATGATGAATAGATCATTCTAGCAATCAATCAGTCTCCCAGGTGGTCTGATTCTAGCTGGGGTTGCCTCTCACCTCCAGCAGGAGCCTCCTCCCTGGGCCTGGGGCACTAGATAGCTTTCAAGGGTCCCAGGGGTTTCATGATGTTTGACCTTCAAAAGGTTATATGTCATGTATCATACTGGACCGTTAAGTGTCTTTTCCATCAGCCCTGGGAGGCCGCACAGCAGGGGCTCAGTCCCCTGGAGTCCCTCTTTTCATGAATGCTGGTAGAACAGGAGCCATATCTACCCAAAAGCATAACAGGGAGAAGATTGAAAAGTACTAGATAAATAAGAACTTTGAAAAAGACCTAAAATGTTAAGCTTACAGCATACAAAAGCAAGATAAAGTCTGAAATAAGACACTTGTCAAAAGTATTCTGAGATTTTATTAGTTTATATCTATTGGAAAGATTTGACATACAACACGATATTATCAAAAGACCAGAAGCAATACGTCTCTACGGGCTTGGAATTTGTAATTAGTGTGCCCTCTAAGACACACTAGATTTCCCCTGATTATAAAAATTATCATTTTATATGATGATTTATAATGATCACATGATCATTAAAGAAAACTTGAGAACTAGAAGAAAGCAGAAAAAGGGAAATAAAAATCACCCTCAATTCCGTTATCCAGAAATAGCTGTTAACATTTTTGATGTATCTCTTTTGTGCTTTCAAAGAAATCCTTATACATGTTTTATACAATTGCTATCACTAAATATACAGTTTTGTGGCCCAATTATTTTTCACTCTCTGTTGCATTAGGAACATTTTCCCAAGACATCACAGATCCTCCATAAATGTGAGTTAGTGGGCACTTCCGGCTCAGCCCCACACCAGAGGGCTGGGTGGGCATTCACAGCTGGTTGGTTGCCAGGCTGCCTGGACAGGAAGATAGGGGACATGAGTCCAAATGCCGAGAAATCAGGGCTGAGTTCCTTCTGTGGGAGGGACTCCAGCTCAGAGCAGGCTCTTTCTAAAAGTGGGAATTCCCCTGCTTCGATGGAGGCAGGGCTGTGCCTGGCAGATTCCCATTCACGCACCCACTCATCTCAGCTCAGGCCAGATGTCAGTGTCAGGCGCTCTGACACAAGGTCAGCCACGAGATAGAGCATTTCTCAACTGATAATGTTATGTCAGTAGAAAATGTGGTTCTCTTTGCTCCATGGCTAGTTAAGCATGGCTAGGAGTGTAGGTTAGCAGCAGTCAGAGTTAAGAACCTGCTCTAAGTGGCTTTGACTGAGGGAGGGTGTCAGAAAACAAAACCAAACGACAAAAAAGAGAAATCACCTTGGATAGTTGGTAAAGATAGGATTTTAAAGTCACTTGGGGCCATCACTTCTTCAGCAGCCCCAGCCTTTGCTGGGTGTTTACACTGCTGTGGAACTGGGAAAAAAAGAGAGAGAAAAGAAAAAGGGGTGAAGGTTGGAGAGGCCCCAAATGCAGTATTACAAGAACTGGGTTTTCAAGTTCAAAGTGCTCTAGCTTTTTTTCTCTGGACAGTGCTTACTACATCATGGGGTAAGCGATGACAAAATAGTTAAGCTCTGAATCAATGAGCTTTTTGTACTTCCTGTAAATTTCCCGGAGTGTCCTGTCCTCTTCATTTGTCTCACATCTGTTTGTATAAATTCTCACCTGTGCCAACAGAGAAATACACATGGTCAGGTTCTGAAAGCAATCTGGATGATGTGTACATGTAATTGTTGCCTAGAACAGGAAAAGCCCAAACCCAGCCACTAAGGAAGAAAATTCCAAATTCCCTTTCCTGGAACCGTTCATTTCCAGTAGACAGATTCAGACTGTGCCCACTCCCAGCCTCATCTCTGACCCTCAGTCCTGAGCAGCATCAAGGCTGGACCCAGGCTCCCTGAGGCTGGGTGCCCCTGCTCTGTCCCTGTGGACCAGCCCTGGGGGCTCTTACTTTGAGAGTGCGCAGGGCACACTGTCCTTCCTCCTGACTCTTCAGGATCCGCTCCACAAACTTAACATCAAGGAAAGCCCAGATTTTGAAGTAAAATAACTTCCTGCAGGATATGATCAGGAAGTGTAGCTCCTCGTCAAGTGACTCATGGTTGTTGTTGAACTCGAACGTTAATTTCTGAAAAAGCACCAGAGAGGAAGGTGTGTTTGGGCAGGGCTGGCGGTACCATTTCCAGCATAGCCATGATCTGGCTTTGGGCTGATAATCCCAGCACTTTAGAGAAGGGACACTGGACATGTGGTTGTCAGAGCAAGAAATTAGGGAAAGAAGGTGATCTCATCCCACTTTCTAAAACTTGGGAGTTTGGAGGCACTGTATTTGGTGTTCAGACACCACCGTGCTGATCCCAGCCCTGCCCTAGGCTGGTCAGGGAACTCTGGACAGGCCCCTAAATCTCAAGTTCTTCCATAGCATGGAAGGATGGTAATGAAACCTGCCTGCCCACCATGGGGATACGTGAGTATCCAATGAGCTATCAGCACTGCATTGTTTCTTGTTAGTACTATTAATATCAGTCATGACAACCTTCTGGAGGCCTTAGGAGGGACACAATGATGCTGATTTTATAGATGGGAAAGTTGCCAGGTTACAGGACAACCTACACCTCTGAGCTCTTCCATGACTTAGGTCAAATTTGGTTTTTGGTTTGGTTTGGTTCTCCCCTTCTATCTAGTTACCAGGCCCTTTGTGACCACACAGAGGCCCTGCTTGGAGCTTACCGCTGCATCCTGCTGTCTCTGTGTGCTGCTGAGAGGCAGAGAGGCCTCCAACCTGCTCCTCACCTGTGGAGGTAACTTTCTGCTCAGGTGTCACAGATCTGAGCCTGGGGGAGAGGAGCTGCTTTCCTTGGTAGAGAGCCAACCAGAAAACCCCTTGTGTTCCACATGTAGGAAGTGAGCAGCAGCTTTTGTCATCTGCTGCAGCCTAGGGTGCCAAAAGAGGCTTAGTTTGCTAACATTCCCTAGAATCTCAATTTGAGATGGAGTGGGCATGTGCGAGCCCAGGTGAGAGCAGGCTGGGGGAGTCAGCAACCTGAGCAGCAATGGTTCCTTGAAAGTCCTTGGGTCACACCTACCTGCAGAGTATGCCGGAAGGTGGGCAGGAGCTCCTGCAGCGTGGGCCTCATCGACCAGTCTGGGTCACTGAAATAGCAGCTTCTCAGACTGATACTCCTGCAAGGGATCTCCTGCAAGAGGATCCGAGTCAAGCGCTCATACTTCATGACCCGCTCGAAGAAGAAGTTCACCTTTAGCTGGGGGGCATGCCTGGCCAGCTTGGCCCAGGACATGCCCCAGACGACCTGCCCATGGGGGTCATGGATGTGGCATTTGATGTTCATGGTCCAGAGGGTACTGGCGTTGTTCTCGCACAAGTTCTCAAGCAGCTCGTCAGAGATGCAGTTGTAGTTGAGGGTCAGGGAAGCCAGGTTGCGGAGTGTGGCCATTGTCTTGTTGAACTGGGGGCTGCTGTAGACGGCGAGGTGGTGGCTAAAGAAGTCCTCGATGTTGAGCTCTGAAATTGTACTCTCGTTCCTTAAGTAGCTCAGGGAATTGAGGACATGGCAGCCCTGCTCCACGGTCAGTCTGGCCCCCTTGAGGTTGAGATAATCCAGGTGTTTACCCATTTTCTTTAAGAAGAAGCTCAAGCTCTTGATGAAGGAGCACCGGATGCTGTTCCTCCAGACCAGTCGGTCCAGCTCCAGGTGCTGGATGGAAAGAGACTTCAAGCGGTTGTTGCTCCTACCCAGACATGAGAGGAGGCCCCGTATGGTGACCTGGAACTTCTTGGTCAAGACAGAATTGTAAGGATTCAGGAATTTGATCTCCAGGTGCTCCAGATAACGACCAAATTTCTTCACATACCAGAGAGCTGACTCGAATTCAGAAGCATGCACCCTGGAAGGCCTCCCGCTGAATGTGATAGTCCGGTATCGCCAGAGGTCAGCTGAATACATCATCTGGTTCCACTTCCTGCAGACAAGGGCTGCCCTGGACCTGTCCCTGTCTCCCAACCACCAGAAGACACGACGCAGGCACACATCCGGCAGGCTAGCCCAGCAGCTCTGTTCTTGGGGATGGCTCAGTTGGCTTTCTTCGTCCATTGGGGACTGAGGTATCCACTGCAGCTGTGTGGTAGGCAGGGCTTCCAAAAATGAGGAAAGAAAGGCAGTCACTTGTTTTCTGTGAGGAGTGAAAAGGAAGAGCCATTACCTGCCAAATGGAAATTGAACCCAATTCAACAGTGAGGTGGGCACTGAGCTGGCGCGGGTGGCTTAATGATACATTCGCCATAATTCTACACCTGTAAGGACTCCCAGTCCATTGGGGTCTAGCAGGGATGCAGAGCAGGATGAGATTACATCACGGGGGCAGGTGTGAAAAGGTCCAGGCATAGTCAGGTGTAGGGTAGCACAAGCAGCAGGTGATTAATTCTGTCTGGGTAAGGAGGATGTGGAGAGGGCTATTCAGAGAAGGTAGATCTGAGCTGGGTTTTGCAGGGTAAGACTTGTGAGGCAGACTAGGTTGTCGTCCTGGTGGCGGGGGATTATTCTGGGTGGAGGGAATGATGCTTATGAAGCCACTGAACTGTGAATGTACAAGATGTGTTTGTATTCAGGGAACGAAGATTATTTGGAGTTGAACTTGTAAGGGGCAGGGAGTGATGGAACAGTGGGAGGTGCTAGCTCTAGGGGCCCTAAGTGATGGGCTAACTGATATGTTCTAGATCCCAGGGACCCTCACTGTCCCTGCTCCCCAAGATGCTGGAATTTTGACATAGATTCTCTGGCGGAGAATCCTTGCATGCATCCAGTTGCCTTGCTGATGGCTGTGTTTACATTCAAATGGTAAATAACAGAACAGAGGCAGAGAAGCTCAACTGAAGTCTTAGGTAGCCAGGGCAAAAGGTCGCATGTCAGAGATGAGGTGGCTAGTTTTGAGTATAGGAAGGACACTCAGGGGTGAGGACCGGAGCAGAGTACAGACTCCTAGGACTAGTATGGCATTACAGCGGCAATCTGGTGGGTTTGTAAGTTCTTTGGAGGACATGACTGATAAGTGGTGAGTGCAGACTTATAGAGAACTGGAAGGTCTCTGGCTCAGCTGTTGGATTGCAAGTGGTACTGCCCACCAGGCTAGCGAGTGCCAGGAAGACTGGGCGTAGGCCACCTCATGCATTGAGCCCCAGTCAGGACTTTTAATAGCCATGTGTTGAAATCTTTTCATGACTTTTTGCTTTCAGTGTTTCCCTTGCCTGAAGACTCCTCTCCTTTTCTTTATCTTTCCCTGAGCCTTCATTCTCCAAAGCTTCAGTGGTAACCAGGAGACTTTTACTGGTTACTTTACCAACATAATTAATCATGGCTCATAAAAACTCAGGGCTGGAAGAGATCTGAGAATTGATTTTTTTTTTAAGATTTATTTATTTATACAAGAACCGAGGTACAGATGGGAGGGTGAGAGGATTCACCAGAGACAGAGAGGGGAACAGAACAGGCAGACTGAGGAAATACACTGCTGAGGGGAGCAGCGGGCAGGACAGGAGAGGTCTGCTGTGCCATGTGGGACCCTCGCCGGGGGATTGAACCGGTGCTGCAGAGGCTGCGGACAGCTTCACAGAGCTGCGCTCAACCACCTGTGCCACCAGGAGAGGCCCTGAGAATTCATTTCTTTACAGAAAGAAGTTAGGGCCCAGAGGGGTGAGTGGTGTTGCTTAGGGTCACACAGCGGTTTAGTAACAGTGCCCAGACTAGAACCTGGACTTTCTGACTTTCCGATACTTTGGCCCTGCCTCCACACATGGTAGGTCTCAGGTGCAGAGGGATAAGTTGATGATATTTTTCAGCCCAAAACAAATGCTTGTCTCTGCAACACCTCTCTTTGGTTGCATTTATTTGTTTATTCCCACCTCACTCTGCTGCCCTCTACCACAGGCAGCTGTTCCAGGTGTTTGATATATATCTCTGCTGGTGTTCTTGCCAAATGTGTATTTAACATGGGTGAGCCTCACGGGTGCTCTTCTGAGTTAGTCTCTCTCACCTATTGCAGCCATCATTTGACTAGAACCTGGGGTAGTATGGGAGGTACGGGAAAGGTGCTTGAGAAAGTAGAGGAAATCCTTTGTTCTAGCAGCCACGTGTCAGAAGAATTATCAGACACTTTAAGCCACCGGGTAGGGGTTGGGAGAACATGTTTGGTGTGTGGGAAAGTCAAGCGAAATTACTGGGGCTCCCCGTCCCTGGCCCCACCTCACCAGTGAGAGGCAGTGTCGTTTAGGGCTTGGATCCTGGTTCTGTCAATTGTTGCATATAACCTTAGGCAAATTCATTTCTTTGTGCCTTGGTCTCTACATGTGTAAATAGCTGTAATAACAGTACGGGAAGGATTAAATGAGTTGATACATAGAAAGTGCCAGAACAGTGCTTGGCAGGTAGTAAATGCTTTACCAGTGTCTGCTGTCCTGGTGTCTCTGCAGCATTCCTGTATGGTGGGTAGGAATAGACTCAATTTAAAAATGGGAAAACAGTCATTAAGAAAGTCTCCCCTGCTTCCCTGGTGGCGCAGGGGTTGAGATGCAACCTAGGAAGCTGTCCGCAGCTGCTGCAGCTTAAGTTCGAGTCCCGGCCGGCCAGGGGGCTACCCACATGGCGCAGTAGACCTCTTCTGTCTTGCCTGCTGCTCCCCTCAGCCGTTCTTTTGGTCTGTCTGCCTGTTCTGCTCCCCACTCTGTCTCTGGTGAATCCTCTCACTCCCTGCGCCTGCCTCTGGCCTGTGCCCCAGCTCTTGTATGCATAAATAAATAAATACATCTTTAGAAAAAAAAGTCTCCTGCTGAGAGCAGGAAGGAATTGGGGAGGTGGGATTCCAACCACCTGAGGACTCCTAAACCTAAGCTTCCTCCATCAAATAACACGACTAGCCCACCGACCCCTCATCCCCGTGGAAGGAAACCTCAGCATGTCCAATCACCCAGGGCCAGGGGAGGTGGCCTTGAAGCTCCTGCATGCAGAGATGCTTCCAGGAGGAGACTGTGAGAAGGGGATCCCACCTCTCCCCACGGGGGCTGCCGGGTGTCCCCCGCCACCCCCTCCCGCGCCCAGCTGGTACTGGTGGTTCCCGCGCCCGCGCCGCCTGTTACCGGCTCAGGCTGGGCCCCCTGGGCTGCGCCCCTAGAGCTGCGGGGACCGTGAGCGCGCCTGCCTGCTCCGCACGCCGCCTCTGCTCGCTCGCCCACTCCGCGGCTGCGGGTCGCGCCTTGGCGAAACACCAGCAGAGGACCGCCTTTGTGACGCGCGGCCACCTGCAGGCCTCTGCTCGTCCTCGGTGGGCACAGGCCCTCCAACCCGGGCTTGCCAGATGAGGTGATGTGGTGTAGAGACGGGCCCCAGCGCTGTGCAGGAAGGCACCGGGCCAGGGGCTGGGTGCTAAAGTCCGGTTTGAGCGCGGGGTGAGGACGCGCGTGCCAGCTGCCCTTCTCTCTTCGCGCGAGGAAGCGGGTCTGCCCCGAACTTGGGGCTCAGGCCCGCGCACTTCACCACCTTTCCTGTCCTGACCCAGCGCCGGGTCCTGTGGAGTCCCTGGAGACCCCATGTGTGCACCCCCCTCCAGGGGAAGCGGCCCCTGCGTGCTGTCGCTGACTTGTGCTTTCTCCTCCCGAGACAGGACACCCAAAGGAGAACCTTAGGCAAACCTGACAACATTTGAAAACCGCTCCACCTTCCCAGTTTTTGCAGGGTGGGCACATTTAACCCAGCAAATTCCTTGTTCTTTCCCTCCCCAGCGAGGGCTCTCTGGCTAATCGCGAAGGCCAGGCGAAAGGCAAGGGGCACAGTTGGCATTCCTAGGCTTCCCCGGCTCACAGCCCTGAAAGGCATCCCTTTGGGCTTCGCCTACCTTCAGTTTCAGCTCTCCCTCCCACCCTCCATTTCTTGTTTTCTGCGTGGCCCCTTTCCTTGGGCACTGCCTAAGTATGATGTCCTGTCTGTGCCACCCTCACCCTGGGGAACCAGACAGGAATCTGAACACAGCAGACAGTGAGCAGAAGTTTTCAGGGAGAGAGTTTTTATTCTTTCAAGACTAGAACTGGGTTGCCCAAGATGGCAGTAAGGTGGTGCCCCTTAGATGCTGGCTCAGGACTCTGGGGCAGAATTGCTGGAACCTCTTTATCCCTTTCTGGTTTAGCTGTAGCTCTTGGGCAAACCAGCATCTCTGTGCAAAAGAAGGAACATACTTATTTAAATCAGAACCTTTTCTTCTACAAGAAAGAAACCCAACGAACAAACACATCTCTTTTCAGGAGTAAAGGCCACCACAGAAAGTAAGCAGGAAAACCAGTTGTAAAAACAGAATCTTAAATCGGCAGTACCTTTACTTTTCCAAATCTAGCTGGAAGTTCTCGTTTGCTTCCCCTTCAATGAAGCTAACCACCAGCATTTTTCCTAAAGAAGTAGATATAAAAAAAGTTTCATGTGTTTAAAGTGGGAAGTGGCAGTTCCTGGGACATCTCTGGATATTGTGTGAACACTGAGCCTCAGATGGAATGGGGACAGCAGGGAGCCCACCAAGCTAGGTGGGGCTCCTGACAATATTTAATAGCAAGGGGAGAGTGTGGTGGGGGAAGGAAGAGTGAACAGATTAGAGCACATCACACCATGAACGGTTATACAGCCATTAAAAAAAAAAAAAGCCACATCATTGGACTTGGAAGAATGTCCTGGGTATTGCTGAATCATAACATTAAAATGCAAAGAAGTGTGTATAATTGGACTCCAAATGGATATGTTTGTATGTGGTTATATAATAGGGTTGCCAGATAAAATATAGGATGCCCAGTTAATTTTAGAGAAACAAAGATTTTTTTTAGCATAAGTATGTCCCGTGCAATTATTTTGTAGTTATTTTTGTCCCAAATCATATATATATATATATATATTGCTCAATTGGCAAACCTATTATATCAGGATGGAGGAAAGTATGAAACAAATTGTGGGAGGCAAGAGAATATGAGAATAATCACACCCCAGCAAGCCTGAAATTCACCTATCTTTGTAAAAATATATGCTATGTGGACATTGAGATGCCTAAAGAAGTTAGAGAGAAAGATCTAGGCCTACCCTTATGTAAGGAGTGCACATCATAGGTTAACTGGAAAAGGAAATGACAGCATAAGGTGTATAGTAAAATGATATATGGAGAAAACCAAACAGTTGTTTGCAGTGCGTAGGGCTTTGAAGCACACGCATCAGCTGCTGCCCCTGGTATCTCAGAGCACAGGACTGTGGGGTGGGGTAGGAGTGGAGGAGAATTAGCCTTACCTTTATACTTCTTCGTTTGGCATTGTGTCAACTGGTTATAACATAATTTAATACTTCTATATTTTGAAAAATATCAGATAATGAAAGTTTTTTTTTTTTTTTTAAGTGAGTGAGGCATACAGGATGGTATTAAAGAGCACCAAGTTTTGGAATCACATACACGTGGGATTGCAGGCTGGATTCTGTTATTCTCTGATTACATAATCCTAGGGAAGCCAATCAGCCTTTCTGTCCTGTTTCCTCAACTATAAAATAGGGATAAAATATCTGCCTCTTGTTTATAATGAGCATGAACCACTTGTAAAGAGTTTTGCATTGTAATTGGCTCCTAAGAGTTAACTACCTTTAATACTACTACTTGTTATTACTAGAAAATAATCTAGAATGTAGAAATCAGGATATTGAGGGAAACAGCTATAAACCCTGATCTCCTAGGGCCAACCACCAAAGGACTTGGGGTCTTGACCAAGATTCTGATCTCTGGATCGCTCAGCCTTCTTTATACCGTGAGAGAGGTGGACCTCATGGCCTCTGCTTCATTCATTTACTCTGTAGTTTTGGATAATATGCTGTGTGTCAGCCCTGTGCTAGGAGCTGGAGCTGCAGAGATGAAAAAAGCTGGCTGTCCTTCAAAGGTGGCCTAGTTTCTGAGACTATACAAATAAGCCAGGTGGTAAGTGCTGCAAGAGAGAGGATTTGGGCACCCAGAGAAGGAAGAGCGAGAGAAGGGTCTTTCCAGTGGCAATGGCTGTGAGCATCTTGCAGGTCTGAGCTTTCCTTACGCACTGCTCAGATGTGGCCAGCCAGGCCAGGAGAGGACAGCTGGGTACCTGGTGTAGAATTAAGGTTGGCAGGGGGAGCAGGATACCACACTGAGCACATCTTCTCAGAATATCATAGGCTGCCTCATCTTCTGCAGGAGACGTGGTCCTGGGGTCATCCTCAGACTTGAAAGGAATAGTCATGGTTTTATTTGTGCTGCTTGGTGCTAGATTTGTTGAATCTTCCAAAAGAAGAGGAACCTTGTTCCTATTTTTCATCTTTGGACGGACATCTTTCTGTTCCGAGGAAGCTAGATATTCAGCAGTCTGACTTGGAGGGGTTGGAGAAGAAGTACTTGGCTTTCCAGCTGGAAAATATTTCACAGACTCTGAGACTGCACAACATTTTTCCTGCAATTGTGAATAATATATCAAATTAAAAGTGACTTTGGCTCTTGTTGACAATATAATAGACGAGGTAATCTGAACACTTCCTACTACAAACACAAATGTTGGGTAAAATATGACATTTGTTTAACTTTATAGCTGACTTTGCAAGAAAGAAAGAAAACTGTGTTCCAGGAATGAAGACCTGATTTGTTAGCACATGAGCTGACACTTGGGAGAAGATGCTGGGTCAATCTTATCACGAAGGACTTCGTTGAGCGATGTGAGTCTACATGTGAAGAGTTATCAGTAAGATTTCCCTTCACATGACTGGAAACCTTGAAGACCAAACTATGGGAACTCAAAACAATTTACTAATTGGAAAAGGAAAGTCACAGGGAAGGGTGTCTACCTTGGGTTGGAATTTGAGAAAGGCTCATGTTCATGAAAACTCAGATATCACAGGTCCCTGTCATTCATATATGTGAGGGGATCAGATTTATGTTAGCCTATGGCCTGGGAATCTCAAGCAGAAGAATTAACATAGAAGTTGTTTGGCCAAAGCAATCACAAAATCCCTCTGGAGGGTACAAAACCTCAAACTAGATCATACAGAATTCTCACAGATAGAGACTCATCAAACAGAAATTCACAATCCAGACTCACCAATACACAAGGAAGTTCTTTACCCTAAGTAAAAGTCATAGATATAGCCAATATCAGTGTCAGTCTCTAAGAAGTGCAGATAATAGAAATAAAGACCAGAGACTATTGAATATATTAATTCAAAATGATCAAGACAAAAGAATAACACCCTATGAGAAAAGAACAGGAAAAGTTGAAAGAGATAAATAAAACTTCTAGAAATGAAAAATACAGACACTGCACCTTAACAAATGAGCTTAAATTTGGCCAAGAAAATATAAATGGACTTGAAGACAGATTTGAGAAAATTGCTCAGAATATAGGAGCTGGAAATAGGAAATGTGAAAGGTTAAGAGACATAAAGCTAGAACAAGAAAATACAATATATTCTGGAGAGGGAGGACATGGGGGAGTTGGGGATTTGTAGAGAGCTGGGAATTTTTCAGAACTGATTAAGGACATAAATCTTTAGATACAGGCAGGAAAAATTCTGAGAAAGAGGGGGGAGTACATTGAGTACAATGAGTACAATGAGTACAATGAGTACAATGAGTACCAATGAGTACAATGTACACATTTGAGTACATTGTTCTGAGCAGGAGGGAAAAAAATATTCCTAACTTAGGTATATTGCAGTGAAACCACAAAAGATCAAAGGCAAAGAGAATCATGAAAGGGAAGGAAAAGCTTGTCTACAAAAGAACAGCAATTGCACATGGAAACAGACTTATCAAGAGCAATCATAAACGTGGGAAGATGGCAGAATAAATTTCAAAATGCCAAGAGAAAGTAATTGTTAACTAGTAAACTAGTGATACTACCATTCAAAAATGCAGAAAAAAGTAGTACCTTTTTAGGTAAAGATTTACTACTCAGGTTCTTGCTGAAGAAACTCCAGTCTGGAGATTGGGAAAAGATTCCAGAATGAGATATAAATTTGGGAGTGTTGCTTACTGAAGGTGTTTTTAAAAATCCTAAGATTGGATACAATTATTGAGGCAGTAAGTAGGGTTAAGGAGGAACACACAGGTTGAACACAAATTAAGAGGTTGGGGAGCTAGAGAAGGAGAAAGCAGTGAGGCAATTGAAAGGAGAGTACGGTATTCTAGAAGCAAGAAAGTGAACTGAAGAAGAGTGAACAGTGGTGGTCAATGCTCCTCATGAATTGAGGCCTGAGAACTACCTTGGACTTGGCAACATGAAGGTCATTGATGATTTTGACAAGACCTAAGGGATGGCGCTGAAGCCAGGTTGGAGAGGGAGTAAGGTTGGGAAAGAAGAGATGGTGACAGTGATTATAAACTACCTGTTTCGAAGTTTGCTGCAAAGGGGAGCAAAGAAACAAGAAACAACAAGAAATGAGATCAAGAGAAGTGTTTTTTTTTGTTTTTTGAGTCATGTTAATGTAACATGAAAGACAGAACTATAAAATATCCCTAATTTGCAAAGAGAGAGGAAAAGGAAGGGAGGGAGGGAGCTTATCATTATAATTTTTAAGATTTATTTTTACTTATTTGTGCACTGGGGGTCTAGGCCAGAGGTGCAAGGTGTAAGGGAATGCGTGTGTGAGAGGATGCACCAGAGACAGAGTGGGGAGCAGAACAGGCAGATCTACTGAAATACACTGCAGAGGGGAGCAGCGGGAGAGTCAGGAGAGGTCTGCTGTGCCACATGTGGGTTAGTTCTCTGGCAAGATGGAGATCGAACTCTTGAAATCCTGTTGCAGTGGCTGGTGGTAGCTTGATAGCGCTGAGACTTTAAGCTTTGTATCACCATGGAGACCCCAAGAGATTGAGCTTTTCAATGCAGCCCCAAAGGTAGCACTGTCAATCCATCAATGTTAAGTGTTAAGGTTACCACTTCAAAAATGTATCATAACATATGTTAGAACACATTGAACAGTTTGCTGTTGCCTCCTTGTGCAGCATATTTCATCTCTTCCTGCTGTTAGGAGGGGGTCTCCTGGTTGTAGAGAGAGGGGAGAGCTTTTGGGGCAATGATCTTGTGTAGGCAGGGAGGATGGGCTGCAGTGCCCCGGTCAGCTCTCGGCAGGAAATGGAAAGTGTCTCTGTGGTTAATGGGGGGAAGCGTGTGCGTGTAGCTGCTGGCAGGGAGGTCATCTGGCAGCGAGTGGTTACGGGTGTTCTATTCTCATGAAGTGGACAAATCGCCATCCCCATTTTCCTCAAAAGAAGAGGGAGGCTCAGGAAATCTGCATAGTCAATAGGTGGCAGAACAGAACTGAAGTGTAAGATTACTGACCACAAATTCAGTCCCATGTTTATTCGAGTCCCCCACACCTCTGAAGTGTGTTGCTATTCATGGTTGCCAGTCTGGACATTTGGAAGGGCGTAGTCAGCTTCTCTCTTGTTTGGGTGCTCAAGTATTTCTGATTCAAACAAAAGACATGGACCACTTATGTGATAGACTAGGCATCATGATTAAGGAAAACTAATGGGATTTGATGCCCAGCGAGGGCTGGCAAGCACTGGGCTGGGCAGTGCTTCTCTGTCTTGAAACTTCAGGAGCCTCGTGAAACTGCATGTTCTGAGTTAGCATTTCTCGGGGGTGGGCCTGGGAGTCTGCATTTCCAACAAGCTCCTTGGTGAGACTGTTGCTGCTGCCCCACAGACTGCACTTCCAAAAACAAGAGGCTGAAAGGTGGAAATGACCCAAATGTTTAGCAACCGATGAATGGAACCGCAAAATACTTCCATCAAAGGCATGAGGTGCTGCCCTCCTCAGCAACACGGAGGAACCTGGAACACACGATGCTAACTAAACGAATTACATCAGACCACATGGACTGCGCTAACAAGGAATGTCCAGACTAGATATGTTAGGGGGAAAAGGATGTCCTAAAGGTAATTTCATACAGACTTTGTGGACTCCACCCCCACCCCAGGCCAAAGCCAAAGACACTGGGAACTCCAAATCCCATCACCACCAAAGGGAAGGTGGCTGGGACCTGAGGGTGGGGTTAAGCAGCCAAGTGAGTATAAAGACAGACATGTGGGCTTTGGGGGGGTCCCCCATTTTGGCTCTCCACCAGCTAGCAGCGTCCGGCCAGCTCTGAGAGTGACTTTGGGTTTCCAGGTCGGCGGATCGGGTAGGACGCATTAAAGACTTTATTTCCCTATTTTCTCCCTGAGTTGTACATTTTCCTCATTTCCTTTTCCCTTGTAAATAAACCTTTTATTAACCTTTTGTGTGTATCTGTAGTGGAGTATTAATAAGTCCCTTTTAAGCGCGCGGGTGAGGACCCACAGCCAGGAACCCGTTCAATATTGGGGCTGTCCTATAACAGATACAGCCATAGAGACAGAAAGCAGACTAGTGGTTGCCAGGGGCTAAGGAGAGGAGGGGTGGGGAGTGACTGCTTAGTGAGCATGGGGTTTCTTTGGGGGTGATGTAAATGTTCTGGAATGAGAGAGGTGATGGTCACCCAACATTGTGAATATACTTAATGCCACTAATGATAAGTCTCATGTTACAGGAGTTTTACCATAATAAACAAAAAGATCTAGATCACTGCAAGGGTCTCAGATTCTGATATTCATGGTTCTCTGAATTAAAGGGTAAAGAAAGGGTAAACAGCTCTTCCCCGGGAGGAAGACTTGTGTTCCAAGGGGAGAAAACTTGGTAAGTTTCCCCACAGGGCAAACGCTCAGCCTGCAAAAGAAAGGAGCTATTCAGCAGAGAAGGCACTTCAAGGTGCTTAAAGCCACAGAGAAAAGAGCCTGAATGTGCCAGGCAAAATCAATCAATCCATCAAGCACATCATTAAAGCACTACTGATCCACTTTTTGTACCCAGTCCTGGAAAAATGGAGAAAGTCGTTCAGTTTTGGGCCCTCACGTGGGTCAAGAAATAATAAGGCAGATTCTCCTGAGCAACATCCAGGCTCTGAAGGTGGAAGAAGTTCCTAGGGGGGTCAGGGATAGCTGAAGCGGTCAGGTCAGGAGGCTCCTCGAAGGACTGTCACAGGGAGTCACCAAGGGCGGTCATCGTTATTTAAGCTAAATCAGCCTTCAGCAATTCATTAACCTCCCCCTTTGAACACTGCAAAACTGAACATGGGAAGCTGTAATATTCTTCGACGTAACACTGGGTGCAAAAATCTAACCTTTCCCATCATACTCTTTGGAAATATGGACTGGTTGTTGGCATCATTAGAAAATGACTAATTCCTACTCACCTTATGGTAGAAGTACATATTTTCTGGAATCTCTTGGTGACAATAATGACAGTGGACTTTCTTTTCAGGAGGACTTCTCTCCCCTGAATAAAGGAATAAGAAACAACACCACAAATGATTACCCTTGGCAACGACTAGTCCAGCTACCCCAGATGCTGTGGATGGCCTGCGCTTATGAGTATGATTTGCCTGGGCAGCACGCAGTCCTTATGGAGGGACGTTGTCCTGGAGCAGGACTGGTTTCCAAGGAGACGAAGGGACTGCTACTGCAGATGCCAATCCTGTCCATTGTGACCATCCTGTCATTTCACCATTTTCCTGGCTCTGTGATCCAACGAGGGCTTACCGTACATGCCTTTGTGGATTGTGTTAAAGCTGTGTTGGCTGTGTTGTGTTATTTTGATAGACTTATGTTGATAAAGTCATGTGGAAGTTGTGTTGGCTGGGCTGATGCCCAGCCATGTGGGAATGAAGGACATGGATGTGAATCTTAACCCTTCCAATTTTTCACTTGCCAAATTTGACCTTGGGCAGATTGTTAACTAGGAGATATTTACTGTCCAAAGTGTTTTAGACTCTTTCCACATGTGACTACATTACTAAAACAACCTGTGAAGTCCACGGAAGATCTGTCACTCATGGTGGCCGTGTCCCCTGAAACACCCACATAAAAAGGTAACTGGGTCAAAAGAACCTGAAATGTCTCCCGGGGGTCACACAGACCCACAGCTCAGAAGCTATAGCTAGTTTCCCTCTGTCCACCGTCATGGTGAAAAAAGCTCCAGATGCGGTGTCAGAAACCTTGGGTGTCTGTCTTATTTCAGCCCCTAGCAAGCCCCTGCTTCATTCTGCGCCTGGGTGTCTCATCTATACAAGGATACAGGCAGCATTGGATTGTGCTGGAGGAGTTGAAAGGAAGCGTCCCATGTAGCAGGACTCTGTCTGCCTCTCTACCCATCGCTGAGGCTCCCAGCCCCCAGCCTTGGGATCTTAGACTCTCCAGACCAGTCATTTGAAGCGGACACACAAGGAGGTCACTGTCATGTATAGCTTAAAACTAGTGTGGCCAGACAAATTTATAAAGTGCACATCTGTCTATCATCTGCCCACACACGTCTTCTGTCCTATGAGACCTTACATTGCTCGCATGCCATCCAGAAAAGGCTTCCCCCTCCTGGAAGCTTCTCTTTTCCTGTAGCCAGTGCTGCTCACCCTCACTGAGAGGGGCTGGTTCACTCCAACATGCGGCCCTGTGCTGGGCCAGCCCTCGGAGCATGATGGACTGGCCGCACTCCAGGCAGATCTTGGTCCGGTTGCCACAGTGGTGCTCGTGGATCTCCAGCTTGCTGAGGCGCACGACCAGCTCACAGAACTGACACGCAGTGGGGCGCTCCTGGCATTCTGTGCTCTGTGTGTGGGAGAGGGGACAGGCATGGTCACTGGCCTGCAGCGAGACAGGGGAAGGGGCAGAGCGGGGACTCTTTTGGACAACAAATTCTCTCTTGGGCTCAGGGATCCTTGCAAGCCCTTCTGACCAGTATCTGGGAGACAGGCAGACCTGTGCCCCTGGGCTGAGCTAGTTTGCTTCCCTAGCCTTCTTGAGTGAGAGAAGGGAAGTCAGGTGGAAATCTTTACTCCTGGCCCCTCCCCTCCTCCTCCCAGTGAACTGCTGGGGGTACAGGGGGATCTTGTATGCCTCTCACCTCATGGAACTCCAGGGCGTGCTTCTGTACGATCTGCTGACACATGGCACACCCGACCTGGATGCACAGAGAGAAACATGAGTCCCACCAGCATGTGCGCTTCCCCCAACACTGCCTTGTTTGGTCATATGCTTCTATTTTGGGTCTGTGATCTTCCAGAGGGCAGGGGTGAGGCATGGTCACCTCAGTTGCCCTGTGGCACCAGCCCAGCTTTCAAGAAGCATTTGTGGGATCCACTGCACTGAAATGGATGCCTGTGCTTGAGGGTCTCCAGAAAGACAGATGAGGGGCCCCTGACCATTGCCCCTCTTTGCTCTCCAACCCTGTTCCCTCAGCTCTGCTTCTTGGGCTGGTGCAGACTCCAGACAGTTAGGAAGATCTGAACTGAGCAGAGCTCTCTGGGAAGGACCCCATATCTACCCTAGAAGGGATTGAAAAGACTAGGAGAGAAATGTCAGCCTTGTGTGCTTTCTAGACCTTTCCTTTCCTGTGTGCCCTATTCACAAACCTCAAAAGACCTTTCAACCTTTCCTGAAACAGGGACCCCTTACCTTGATTGAATGCATGAGCCTGTGGGAATGGGAAAGCCAGGGGTATACTCAGTTTGGCGTGAGAAACTAAACTGAGATTCCGCCTCCACTTCATAGACATGAGTAGACACAGTGCAGGCTAAGTGACTTGGCCACGATGGAGTTGCTGCCATGTGGACGGGACTCTCATGGCCGCCCTGCCCTCCCTCCTTCCTGCTCACCTGCTGGTGCCCAGCCTCCTGGTGCTCGTCCATCTTCTCCTGTGGAACATGTTCCTTGCACTCCGGACAGGGGACCAGAGACTGCAGGCAGTGGGCCTCATGGAGGGCCAAGTGGGCCGAGGCTATGCTTCTTCTGCTATAGAATCAAGGGGGAGGAACAACAGGCTTATTTCAACATATAACCGTGGAGCCATTTTTCACAGCCAGGGCAGCTGGATTAAGACCTTTTGATCTTAATACATGATGGTGATGATGCTCCCTGGCCCCCTTCCCCCACATTGGTTGAAAATTAGAACATGCAAAATGATAAGAGAAGCGTCAGGACATTCTATAAGTTCTTATATTGTCCAGGTTGAGCAGGGATGTTGAGAAGGAGCAGGAGGGAGCAAAGGAGTCCCGAGAAGTCTTTGAGGGTAAAGGAGAAGGTCCATTATCCCCAACGGGCTGAGGGGTGTAGACACAGATTAAACATGGTAAATGGTACCCTTGAAAAACATAATACAATTTAGGTCAATTATACCACAGTGAAGCTCTTTTTAAAGCTCAACAAAAAAATATCAATTGCTTTCAATTTTTTTTTCTTGTCTTGAAGTACTCCCTTCCCTACCACGCATAGGCATCCTGAAAGGGCATTGCCAGCATTCAGCCAGAGTCCAGACAGTGAGCTCTACCCATCCCTGCCAGCAGGTGCACCTGTGCCACCTGCAGAGGGACCTGAGGCCCTTCTTGGAGAACTCAAAGCACCCCTGTTTCTGAGCCTCCCAGCTCCAGGGCAGGGTGTTAACACTCCTCACCCCCCAGCAATGCTTCCTTTATTGCAAACATCTCCTGCTTGAGGTAGCTTGGGAGAAAGGAAACTCAGGTCTCAGTAAAGGTCTAAGTGACGACAGGTGTGGCAGGCCAAGGGCTATGGCAGGAGGGCTATGGCCAAGAGGCATGGCCGAAGCCTCACCCCTTGGGTCTGAACAGACTCTACTTCTGCGCGGCCCAGGCAGACAGCACAGAGGCCATTTTCTTGGCCTTCTTTTCTTGCCCCTGGCCTGGTCACTATCTCCCTCAGCTTTTCTTTCTGAACCTGTTCAGACCCTGAAGAGCTAGGGTGCTTTAGCTGAAGCAGAGCTCTCCAGAAGGATTCTCCCTGGCACCCCCCCCCCCCCGCAGGTAGGGAGAGTGGAGGGTAAAGTGCTTCAGAGGCGGGGTCCCCCCGAGTTACAGGTATAACTGGACCCCTGCCCCAACACCCTCCCCCCCCCCACCTATCTTAGCTCCCCCTCAATGAGAGACTGGAAATGGTACCAGAGAATCTGATGAGCCCCTTTCCTGGGGAAAGACCATATGATCAGAACCCCAAATTTAGACCCCAGTTCTGCCAAATATGAGTAGCCCAAAAGGGGCAATGATCTTGGCCATTGACTTTAGGACTGTCCAAGAAAGTCTAAAATATCTTGGGGTGGGGATGCTGGTTCAGTGATATAGAGGTAACTACTTGTCACCCAGGGAACTTTCCACCCATACAAATGCCTGAGCCCTTTCTCCTCACTTCAGGAACAACCTTACCCTGTGTGCCCCTCTCACTAGCTGGCCTCAGGCCACTAGAGAAGGCTTTATCTTACCAGTTTCTGCACACCAGCAAGGCTCTCTCCATGGTCTCCAGAGTCTTTCTGTTGAGTTTCATTTCTAGCAGACAGAAACAAAACTGAAAGTATTTTGCAACCCAGAGTCCAGAAGGGAGGGGCTTTCAGAAATCTCGGCTTGGGGCTGCTCCAGGCTTCCTGTGCCTGCCGCTTTCAGGAAGGCCTTCTGCAGCACAGCCAGCCCAGCCTGCCCCTGCTGTCACCCAGGGCTACTGTCACCCACTGATTCTAAGACCCCGAGGGCAGGATCGAGAGGCAGAGCCTCCCCTGGACAGCAGCATGTCCTCCCCGGGCCGCTTGACTGCTCTGGTGGGTTGCCTTGTTCAACCTGAAGCTGTCCCTAGAAAGCAGCTCCTGGGTATCCCTCCCCCTCCTCTGGCCCCAGCTGGTGACAGCTGGGGAACAGGATCTGGGAGGAACTGTGGAGGTGGGGTGGTATTGATACTGGGCAGGTTGAGGGGCACCCCGGAATCCCCAAACCTACCCACTCTAAATAGATTCTGCCATTTGCCTTGTTATGGAAAACAGTCTGCCAGGCTGGAAAGGGCCAATATACCAACCTCATCAAGACAAAACATACTCTAGTGCATAAGAACTTTAACAGAAAGGAATTTTAATACAATAAATAAAGAGAAGATATAAGACAAAGAATGTAGTTTTCAAATCAAGTACTCAAAGTTACCCATCCCCTTGTGGGCAAATTCCCAGCCAAAAAGGGTTGGCCCAAAGCAAGGCCACTAGGGCTGGGAAGCTTGCCACAAGTCCAAGGCATTTTCTGGTGGGGACCCATAGGAAAGGGGCAGAAGGGGTCCCAGAATGTCTGGGACAGAAGGAACACAATCAAAATCAAGATAAAAGCTGCCCTTGTTAACCTCCCCACAGATGTCACCCACATCTGTTTCAGGTGTCTCCTTCCATGTCCCCCAAGTCCCTGGTACCAGTCCAAGGCTGGGAAGCAAGCGCAGCTTCTTCACATGTGTCTCTGCTCCATGTGCCTCCTCCAGGTCTCCTTCTGGCTCTCCATCCTTCAACCTTCCTTTTTCCAGTCTCCAGTTTCCCCTCCTCTCTGCTCAGCCCCACCCTTCCTTGGGTGGAGCAGGGAATCTGGAACCTCTCTTTTCCTTGGGGACCACCCTGGTACAGTTCTACAAATATAGATACAGATATATAGATTTGGTCATTCAGGTTGTAAATGACCAAACAGGGCCTTTTGCTGGTGTCCAGAAAGCCAAACTCTGAACCCTGAGAATTGTCTTTACTTGAAGGAGTTCAATCAAGGGAGTTGGGGTTAGGCACCCCAATACACCTGGCTTCCCAAGTGGCAGGAGTGCTGGGATTTTATAAGGGATGAAGGAAAGTAGGGAAGTGTCAGGCCTCACATCTCCAGGTCCCAGGAGGTGCCAGGCATTCTAGGCGGCAGGAGTCAAGGTGTTTGACTTTCCAGACAGGTTTTTTCTCAGCAACCAGCAGATGTTTGTTTCTTTTCTTTCTTTCTTTTTTTTTTTTTTTTTAAGATTTATTTATTTATTTATACAACCCCTGTGTACCATCAGAAGCACGGGAGGGTGAGATAATTCACCAAAGCCAGAGCAGGGAGCAAAACAGACAGATTGACGAAATACACTGCTGAGGGGAGCAGCGGGCGGGACAGGAGAGGTCTGCGCGCCATGTGGGACCCTCGCTGGAGGCTAAGGATCGAACCGGCGCTGCAGAGGCTGCGGGCAGCTTCTCAGCCCAGCGCTCAACCGCTGCGCCACCGGGGAGGCCCCAGATGTTTGTTTCTGATGCCACTGTCAACTCAAAGAGACAGAGAACTTTATCAGGGAATGCAACACAATCAATTTCCAAGTTCCCAGGTTTGCAGCTAAAGCCAGTTAACAGTTAATCATAAGGAGGGAACAGGAAGCACAATTCAGTGAGTTAACAGTTAATCCTAGAGGGAATGCAATTTAGTCAGTGAACAGTTACTCCTAAAGAAGGAATGCGATTCAGTGGTTGTAGTTTAATTCCAAATTGTTAGTCTAGAGGTATTTTCTGCTGCAAAATGGAGGGGATTGGCTACAAGGTGATCAAAATATATTTCTCATACCCATTTGATCTTCATGCACAGTCCCTGGCTCAGAGCTCCCCAAAACCTTGGCATATCCTAAGTGCTGAGCGTGATAAAGGTGTCTTTTGTTATGTGAATGAATGCAGCTGGTTGCGCAAGATTAAAAGTTGAGAACTTTCAGTTCCACCCCTTAACCTCCAGGGATGGGAGAGGACTGGAGATGGAGTTCAACTCCCAATGACCAATGATTTAATCTACTGTGCCTGGGATGTTAAGTCTTATTGTAACAGGGTGGTCCCCAGGAAAGGGGAGGTTCCCTGCCCCACCCAAGGGAGGGTGGAGCTGAGCAGGAAGAGGAGAAGCTGCAGAAGAGACTAAGGAAGGAAGCAGGATGGAGCCAGAAGGAGACCTGGAGGAGGCGCATAGAGCCTAGAGACACATGAAGAAACTGCGCTTGTCTTTTGGTTGTGGACTGGGTGACACAGATGTGGGTGAGACCCGTGGGGAGGTGACCATGGCAGCTTTTATCTTGATGTTGATTTTGCTCTTTTCCTTCCGGGCTTGTCCGGTTGTTTCTGGCCCTTTTCTGTGGGTCCCCACTGGAAGATGTTTTAGACTTGTGGCAGGCTTTGGGGCCTTGTTCTGGGCCGATCCCATATGGATGGACTTTTACCCACTAGGGGACGGGTAACTTTGGGTGCTTCATTTAGAAACTAGACTCTTTGCCTTACCTGTATTGTTTCCTAGTTTTATTAAAGATCCTTCCCATTAAAGTCTCATATGTTTTGTGTTGATGCGGCGGATGGCAGAACCCATTTAGAATAGGCAGGTTTGCGGGGTTTTGGGCTGCCCCTCTCCCTGTCCTATAACATTATAAAAACCCAAGTGTGTGTGTGTGGGGGGGGGGAGGCCTCCCCAGTGGCGCAGTGGTTGAGCGCTGGGTTGCGAAGCTGCCCGCGGCCTCTGCAGCGCCGGCTCGATCCCCGGCTGCTCCCCAGCCACCGGAGGAGGGTCCCACATGGCACGCAGACCTCTCCTGCCGCCCGCTGCTCCCCTCAGCAGTGTACTTCGGTCCTTCTGCCTGCTCTGCTCCCAGCTCTGGCTCTGGTGAATTCTGCTTCTGACTGTACCTATCACTTGTATAAATAAAAATAAATCTTAAAAAAAAAAAAAACCAACCAAGTGGGCAGGCTTCAGATAAGCTGCAGTTGGTGAGCACGCGCAGGCTCAGAGACCGCATGGAGCTCCCTGCCTCCCCCCCACCCCCACCTTGGCCCTATGCATCTGTCCCAACTGACTGTTCCTGAGTTCCATTCCATTGTAATAAATCAGTGATCTAGTGAGTAAAATGTTTCCTAAATACTGTGAGCCACTCTAACAAATTAATTTACTGAAGAAGGGGTGGGTTCTGATTTATAGCCAGAGGGTCAGAGCACAGGTAATAAGTTGTGGCCAATTTGTAGGCAGTAGATCAGAAACACAGGTAACCATGTGGGCTTGGAATTGACCCCTGAACAGGAGGATGGTCTTGCGAGTCTGATCCCCAGATTCCTGCGGAATCTGATACTGTCTGTGGGCACACAATGTCAGAATTGAGCTGTATTAAATTGAATTCTTGGACACCTTGTTGGTGTCTGAAAATTGTTTGGTAGAGGGAAGTCTCTGCACCCACACATAGCACTGGACATGGGAACCCTTCCAGGTGGGAACGGTTGTTGTTGATTTTTTTTAGGAAGATAATAGGATTAAGGAAAATACCCAAGCATGGTGTAGAGACAGGAGAGGACACAGAACAGGTTTTCTGATCCAGGAGACCGGGTAAAGGAGGAGTCAGAGTCTTCAGTGGCTTTTCAGGCTTTTATTGGGATTTACCGGGTACATGGCAGGTAGGGGTGCTGGGGGGCCGGGAGGCTGGCAGTCCTCCCAGCCCCCAGCAAATCCTCACCCTATCTGGGCTCTCTGGTGCTCTCCCACATTCTCTCTGCTCCTCTCATGGCTCTGCTTCTCTGCTTCTTTCTCGGCTTCTGCTGGCGTCCCTGTGATGCCGCCTGTAAAGCAACCAACCCATTCTTAGCAGGTTTATGAACGGTTCTAGCAGCCACATGTTCTTCGCCATGGTTTGTAGTCGCTCCAACACTCCTCCGTACACTCCACTCCTCCACCGTTAACACCGCACTACCACCACACCGCACTCTGCTGCACCACCCTTATAAATCAGTCTCTTAGCTCAGGTGGACCCACTTCAGGTGTCCGCCATCAGGCATGCACCCAGGATCACAGGGCTCCCTCATCTATCCTGATGGCGGAAGGGCAGAAAAGCCTGATACCTTGTACCTTACCCTACACCGCCCTTTAAAGCCCAGTCTTAGCCCAGGTGAATCCCGTCTACCTATGCCCACACCCTACTCCAGGTGCCCGCCATCAGGCATGCATTCAGGACTGCAAGGATCCATCATCTATCCTGATGGCAGGAGGGCAGAAAAGCCTGATACCTTTTACCTTACCCTACACATGGGCTCTAGCCTGCTGCCAGACTAAAATTCAGGCACCAAATGAGAGATAGTGTGCAAATGATCAAAGCAAAGGTGGGAGGGAAGAGCAAACAGACTTTTAAACATTTTCTATGTTCCTGACATCATACTAAGCATCTTACAGGCATCACCGAGTTTCATCTGCCCAATAACTCTGGTGTAAGAATGACTAGTTCCATTTTGTAACAGCAAGATGAAACAATTTGTCCAATGCCACACACTGAACTGAGCTGGGAGATCTCACGCTGGGGGCCTATGCGCCTAAGCAGCTCTGAGCCAGGAGTCAGAGACCCAGGTGAGCACCAGATTCTCTTCCTCATCAGCTGGGCCAATGCCTAAATCCCTCTGCTTTGCTTCCCACTCTGTCTCCTGACAGTCCTGACAGTTCGCTACAGTCCTGACAGTAGCGAAAAGCTAAGAACTTTAACATGTGTTATCTCCTGTGGAGATCCCCAGA